GAACTCCAAAACTAAAATGAGACAATTGTATTTCTAGCAGTAGCTCAGAGGCGGTAGTAAATGTGAGATACGTACTTTAATCTGACCTCATGCAGTAACTTCTTTACAAATTCACTGTTCAGATACTGCTAATAAATAGTACTGTTGCAAAGACTGTTCTGATGCCTGAGAACTTCTATCAGCCTCCCTGTGATTTTGATTAACAGGTAACTTGAATTTCTGACAGAGGAAACCCCAACATGCTTTTGAAGTAGATTCACCCTGTGCTCTAATTTTCTTTTTAAAATATTAAGACATTTCAGTGAATCATAAGCAATAGCAACTTACCTAAATACTTACTGTTACAGTATCAATGTTCAGGAAAAACAGCTTAAAGATAACTTTTCCCCTTTGCTGCTGTTCGAAAAGAGATCGAGAGAACATCAGGTGCTGTATTCTTCTCCTCCTGGCTATATCTTAATGCTGCCTAATTTCTGTTAAGAGATTAAATAAGTGTTCAGCATAATCAATATCAGACTCCAGAGTGATTGGCTGGTGTCGTGGTAGCGTGAATTGCCGTAGGGGTTTCAGTGTGAAAACGTAGCAGTGACACGTAATGCAAGTTCTTGTAGATAGCGCGTGAATACAGGGCAAAGTTTTACAATGCTGTTTATTGCTAACTCGGGGAATTATCATGCTCACGTTGAAGCCTGCAGATTATAAAGTGATGAGTAGTTATTTGAGAAAGGTGGTTTTCACTTGTGACTTACGGAAAGGGGCTTTGGAAAAATCCTTCTCCTCACAGCGCAGATACCTTAAAGATAGTAATTTCTCTCTCTTGTGGTAAAAGTTAATCATAAGGATCTTGGGACAAGAGTAGAGGCGGAGGGGCAGGGCCTGTGTTTGCATGTCTTGGGTTTTTCAAACTGTAGGAAGAAAAAGGTCTTGTTGAAAAGGTAGTCTCCTCTTATAATTGCCTGTTACTGTTCCCTTATATTCTGTAGGGAAGCACTATATAATGAAAAAGCTTGCACTGCAAAATAATTTTTTTTTTAAACTTGATTTGAAACTGTGATAGAATTTTGAGAATATTGGTCAGTAACAAATTATATACTGTAATAACAGTCATTGACTCCTTATTTCTTGTAAGTGATTGATAACACAAATCTGACCTTCTTTTAGTTATCTGAAAACTTTTATCTGTAGCGTAGTCAGTCTCTTGGTTCATGTGTCACCAAAATGCATCTTGAAAATAATTCTGCTCTTCATAAATTAATAATGTAACTCTTTGCATTGCAGTTGATAAAAGGTTAGTCCCTAATATGTTTTGTGGTGTGACATTGGCAATCCTTACTGTAAATGAAAGCAGTCGTTTTATGATGGTTTCCCAAGGGAGAGCAATAGCAAGGTTTTATTTCCTTCTTCTCCCTTCCCCCCTTACTTCCAGTGGAAAGGAGAACAGTTTACCCTCAATACAGGTAATGCAGTTTGCACTGACACAGTATTTCATGTTGCCCCCTCCTTCTTAATTTCTCAAAATATTTATGTGATAGGCATGACCTTAATAATTTCTCTTCCACTGAGGAGAGGTGTCATTGCAGTTAACAGTTGCAGTGTCAGAAAACTGGTGGCACTTCAGGCTGCATCTCCTTTACTGAAAGTTTAGAACATCTGACAAACTGAAATTCCTGCTGTGATCAAACTGAATCCAGACAGTTGGTGAAAAAAGATTTGTTTGTTAAGAGTATGTTTCTACGTGTTGTCCAAGGTAGCTGCTGGTTTTGGTCTTTAGCTGGATTTATCACCTTTTAAAAATCCCTGCAAACACTGGTATCATGAAATACCTGTTGAATGCTTTAAAAATGCATAGGTTGAAAATGAATTCATCCTAGAGTTTATGTCCCTCCACTGAAGTGTATTTACAATACAAAAAAGATGTGTGGAAGGTAAGCTTAGTTCCTGTTTGAATTTTCTGCTTGATTTACGGGGCATGCTGGTAGTTTTTCCATAATAGTTGTGGGTATGACTCCTAATTTGAAAATTTTTCAGGCTCAAAGTGAGGCCAGAGTAATTTGCAGAGCACTGGATTATGTCTTCCATGAATGATTCAACATACACTAACATTTTATGTGGTAATGAACATGTCTTATGGTAATAATCCTCTTTTTAATTTAGCTACTCTTGTCTTCTGCTGATGAGTTCCATGGGTAAGGCTTGGCCATTAACAGGAAGGCACTGAGACTGTTGAGAGAGCTTTTAAAATACTCATTTGAAGACAACAGATTTTCTATAATTGTATTTAAAAATACACTTATAGATCCATAGAATGGTTTGGGTTGGAAGGAACTTAAAGATCATCTAGTTCCAACTCTGTGCCATGGGCAAGGACACTTCCACTAGACCAGGTTGTTCAGAGCTCCATCCAGCCTGTCCTTGAACACTGCCAGGGATGGGGCATCCACAGCTTCTCTGGGTAACCTGTTCAAGTATCTCATTACCCTCAGTAAAATGGTGTAAAAAAAAATAAAGAATTTTTTCCTAATATCTAATCTAAACCTATTCTCTTTCAGTTTGAATCCATCTCCCTTTGTCCTGTCACTACATGCTCTTGTAAAATGTCCCTCTCCATCTTTCTTTCACTGGTAGCGTATTTGAAAAGAATCAAAGATGTTGGCAAGGAGTGAAAAATACTGTTGTGTATTTCTCTTTCTAAAATGTCCCCAGGGGCTACAGTTTGTGTCATCACTGATTGGGTGTAACGTTGAGGTACTGACCCTGCAAGAGAGAGAGAAATTATTTGTTTTGGGTTTTTTTTCCTGAGAGCTTTTCAAATTTGAAGGTTTAGTGTGAAGGAAGCAAGACCTAAGGATTACATATCAGCTATCTGCCAGGAATCTACCAGGACTGGTGGTGATGTTTGCTTTTGACTTTGGAGAAGTCACACTCTCACAACAGAAAGTACAGGCAAGTAGGCCTCTATGCAAATATTTCTGAAAAGAAGCAATACCATTCAGAACTGGAGCTCCTCAGTGTTGTTTTACCAAGATAAATGTTAGCAGATATATTACCAAGCCAAAAAATTGTCCTGTCATCATTAGATTGGAAGGTGAATGATATCCATTCTGGTCTGAAAGGGTAAAAATGGTGGTAGTGTGCTAGCTGGCTGTTGATCTGTGAGTGTTACTGAGTCTAGGGGAAAAGACACTGCACTGTCACTGCAGAGACCCGGGTTTGATTCCCGGTCGGGGTCCCTCCCCGGGCAGATGGAGCTCGTTAGCCCGTAAGGCAATCCATCTACGTCCTGAGGACCTTGCTGCCACCGTCCAAGCTCGCTTGGCCCCGGCAGATGAACCTCAGGATTAAAGGGTGGGCTCAGTTCCACGCACACTGTGTCTCACCTAAAAAATCCAATGCACAGGCTGGAAGGTGTAAAGACCTTCCCCGGTTCTTCGTTTGCGAAGACTGGCCATTACTTACTACTTACTTACTTACTGGGTAGTGGGTTTATTCTCCAGAAAACCCGCTGGAATGTCCTACAGGAATTTATTTTGAGAAGTAAATTGATTAACTGGTGATTGATTAATATAAAATCATTGTTCTGTCATTGCATTTCAAGCAGTTGAGAGCAGAACTGCATTTCCTTTTTGCTGTTGCACCTCTTGTCATGAAATGAAGTACTTTGTTCTATAACTTCTTGGAGAACATGGGTTTTCTTTCTTAAACTCTTTGTGTGAGAGTCCACTAAATGTTTTAGTGATGTAGCTCAGCTTTTCAACAGAGCAGAAGAATATTGTGCTGAGGTCTAAATACAAAACCAAGTGATGACTTAAGATGATCATCTGCCTTTTTGTTTTCAAGATGGTTATGCCAGACCATTATTTTACTTTTTCCCCTTTCACAATACTGTGTCAAAACTTTAGTTAAGTGATGAAATCTTCATTTCTCAAGTTATAAAGAAAACTCTGGTGGGTTGAGTAACACGGTGGGTTTACTTTGAAGTTGGCAGGTCATGATGATCTGCTGTACTCCTTCAACACAGCAGATATCTTAAAAATCATCTCTTCAGTAAGTGCTCTGTGAGCCAGCAAGACAAAGTGTGGGGACTTTCTTTTGTTTTTTTCTAAGATACCTTAATTTATGTCTAGACTTGGCATTAAGCAATATTAAAAATCAATTCCCCATAGCCTTACCTGCTGGGGACAAGGACTGAATGTGTCATAAATAGTGTGCAGAACTGCACGCCTTGTGGCTGCCTTATCTGTTCACATCAGAAAAAATTGCTTAGGTAGGTTTTTTATTTTTCTTATTTCCGTAGTATTTGTTTATTTCAGGACCTTTGTCCTGGCTAGTGCTATATGATACCAACTCCTAGATTGCCTTGAGAGTGTTCAGTGAGTTAATGGTTGTTTGTTATCACCCCTCTACTGGGTACAGATGTTTCAGTTTCTTACATTATTGGGATTAATACATTTATATATATATTTATATATATATATAATAATTTAAAATATGTATTACTAAAAAGGGGGAAGCCAGGCAACTGGAAGTCTAATACATATGTGCATTTTGTAACTTTATTCCCACATGAGTTTTCGAGGTGTCTTTATGCTGTAAAAAATAAGCCTCTTGTCAAAAAGAGCAGATATTTTGAGGGGAAATAGTTGTGCAGTTTCTTTAAAATCAAGGTGAATAGCAAGTGAAATGGATTTTAAAAGTTTTCAAGCTGCTGCCATCTTTTCTGAGTGCCTGGTTATTTGAGTATTTGCAGAAAAAGATATTTGGAATCCATGTGTGTCTGTATGTTTTACACAACCCTACCCATCGTGAAAGACGAAACCAGAAAGTCTTTTTGATGCAGGCAGAAGGTTCTGAGGAGTCTTGTCTGGATTAGAAGCTGGAAAATCACAGGTTCCAATAGCTTGGTCTCTGTATCAGCCTATCTCACTGCTTTGGGTCTGGGATACTTGTAGAAAGATACAATTCACTAATCAATCCATAATCCCCTCTTTTCTTCCTTCTAACCCAGTGAAACTATCACAGACATCATCAAAGTAGTGGAGCAGCAAGGAACAGATGCGTGGTGGACCCTTCCTATTGAACAACTGCTGTCAAAAGAGGCTGTAGCAAAGGTAATCTTCCAACTTCAAATACAGAAGGTGCCTGAGACAGCTGAGTGGTGGGAAATAATGGAAAACCTTCATATATTCCCTTGATGTTTTTCAATCTTGTACTCTCATGAGAAGGTATCCTGTGAAAAGAACATTCAGAAAGTAAGGTCTGAGTGTGGCAAAATACATGCAGTCAGATCTGTGCTGTTAATTCAGGGCAGAGATCTCCATCCCCCTGCTTTTAGTTCAGGTTCTCCTTCCTAGGTGACCAACTATCACCTTCCTAGGTGACATCCTAAGTAACCAAATTATGAGCCCAAATATATATTAAATTTTTGTCATCAAAATAGATTAGAATTTTTATTAAGTTCTTCCTGACTTTTTATTGTACTTTAACAATTGTGTACTTAAGCGTGCACACAAACTATGGTGTAACTCTGCTGTCTGAGGTTTTTATTTGTAATTTTTCCTTGCCCTGTTTTGGATTTTCATCAGTAATTATTTGAAAACTATTAGGAAAAATTATCTGAATTATTTTGTGTTCACTCAGAGTTGGTAGCAGAGCCTGTACAAACTAGTCCAGAAACCAAATTTGCTTTATTTCTAGCTTTGAAAAGCATTGATGATACAGACTATTCTATTTGTGTTGTTTAATAATTGGTCTCTCAATAGGCTGGTGGTCACGATATTTCGGATTATGTCAAGGGACAGGATGTCCTAGACATCTGGTTTGACAGTGGAACTTCCTGGGCTCATGTTTTGGAAGGTACAGAATTAATATGTTGATCTTTCTTTTAAAATACTTGGAGAGCCAAATACAACTGTTTTGTGTGACAGTGTTGGTGTGAGCGAAACTGAGGCAGATCATGCCGGCAGCAGACTGGTTGTGACTTCTTGTAAAGCTGCTTTTGCTTGTAAAGATAAGGATTTAATGTTGGCAAACTCATTTTCAGAGTAACTGAAGTTGAGATTTTTCTAATATTCTACTCTGAACAGTTCTGCTGTGTGGCATATGGTGTATCTTCTGATCAGAATGTACTTTTTTGGAGTGTAGACGTTTTGTGACACAAAAGTCAAGGTATTTTGCTGCTAGTCGGTAACTCTTAAATCGTTTTCAGTTAACGTATTTCAGTTTGTGCTTGTGTGTGCTATTTGAAGCAGGACAAGATTGAGATCAGCTGCTGAGTCTAAGTTTTATAATTTAAAAGTGTAGGTGTGCTTTTTCACTTTTGATTACTTTCAGTAACTAAAGTAGTATATTGTGGCTTAAAATATTTATACTTGCTATAAGCTGTTAATAGCTCCTACCGCCAGTAGTTGCTACTCAACAGGTAGCAGATATATATTTGTCTAAAAATACATAAAATATACACTGTTTGCCTGGAGGGTAGTCCAGAGTCAGGAGTCCTTTCCAGAGGAGGAGTCTGGTGCCATACATCAAGTCTGTTGGACTTTAAACCCTCTGTACACAATTGCGTGATAACAATCTTGTTGAATTATAAAACACGTTAGTACCAGAGGCTTTATTTCTTAGCAACATGGTCAGGCAACAGTACCATCAGCAAACATTAATTTTCTAGAAGACCTTTACATATATTGAAGTTTAAAATGTTTCAGATTTGATTTTGAAAGGTAAAACAAAATAGTGGTATTTTATGCACAGTTACACACTTGTGTCCTGCAAGGGCTTAACACCTCAGCCTGCAAAAGTTACCTTTAATCCTGTGTAAAGGAAGGACATCTTTTAATAAGGAATAGCAGAATCAAGACTTCTTGATTCACTGTTAATTTGTGTAAGGCTCCCCTGTTGATTCTGTAGTGTCTAATAAATGCTGGATCTTTCACAGTACAGACTTCTTCTTTCATAGAAATCATTGCAAGTTCCTCTTCTCTACCTAGTACTCTCTTTCCATGAAATTTGCTGGAACGTGGTGTATGTAAGGCATCTTCTTTTGCTGTCTGACCTGACTGGAGTGGCCCCACTGGTTCCAAAGCCAGGGACCTGACTGACAAGCAGGGTGACCCTGCAACCCTTTTTAAGTTCAGAAATGACACAAAAGTTGCATTACCTTTTTTCTGTGTAATTGAGGCTCCCAGACAGTGCCAGAAGTAGAAGTACAGTCTCAATGATTCACATCAAATTATTGGTTTAATTTACCATTTATGAAAAATGCACTTTGCAAGAGAAGCTGTTGAATTAATGGTTTTGACTTCTGTTTCCCAATATGCTCCAGTTTTTAAAACTTTCTGCAGAACTTCTTCCAATGGCAATAGAAGTAATCTTCAAGGCTTGCAAACAGGCTAACTGATGATATTCTTCTCTAAAGTACTTTTGGAGAAAAATGGGTGAAATTCATGGAGAAATCCAAAGTTAGAGAATGTCATAATGGGAAGAACTTTCCATGGCCAAAACTCAGGGAAGCACAGAAGCATATAGAAGCTGTCATGCTCCCTGTGCTTGCTGCCTGTTAATTTTGTAGTAGGAGGTCAGTGATAACAGCGATTGGTGCTGCCTCTGATGCCGATGCTGTGGGGCAGTGGTTCTTCTGCAGCACATGAGTCACTTTGAGAGCAACTGGAGGATGTAAGAGATGGCTAAAACTGAGACTATTATTTGTTTTGCTCTGCCCTGAACCCAAGTTATTGAAAATTATAAACCAATTATCTATTAGTCACCAGCAGGAATTAAAGGTTTTACAGATTTCCCTGTCAGTTCCAGTATTGCAAAAATAAGTCCTTCTCTCCAGAGTCTCTGCCACTTGGGGAACTTGGGCCTGAGTTTTCACTGTGCTTGAACCACCTGTGTCCGAGCTTACTAAATGAGATGCAGCTGATGGCCATACAGATTGCCGTTGTAAAATATGGCAGGTTGGGAAGGGGGGAGGGAAGACAAAGAAGGAGAGAGATTCTGCTACATGAGGTTAAGGGAATTGCTGCTCAGTGACTGCAAGCTCAGTGGCCTAAATGGTAGGTTGCGTGCACAATCGTATTTCTAATGCTCGCCCTGCTGCATTTCCTACAAGAGACTGAGCATAGTTCTGATAGAAATGACTTCAAGTTGCTCTTGTTTTGGTAAATTATGGTTGGCTTCCTTTTTGCAGCCTAGGTGTGTCTAAGGTACCACTTCTAGCTAAATGACAAATTAACCAAACCGTTCTACATCAGCAGTGTGGCAGGTAGGAAGGTGTGACTTACTCACTAAGATCAAAGATTTGGCTCCCACAGTCACAAACACAAAATTGTAGTTATGACTAGATTGTGTGTGAAATAAATGCTGCTTGCTGGCACCATTGAGAGCAGATCCACAAGTGCAACATGCTCTGAAAAACCCACTGCTCCTGAAGTTTTCTGGGGATGGTGTTTGCTTTCTTAATGCTCTGTTTGCCTAACACTGTTTTCACTCAGTTTATTAGTTGTACCTGCTCATTCTATTTGCTTCTTGCTACACATGCCTCAAATATTTTCTTGGAAGAACTGTTTTATGCAGTGTTAAAATTGAAGTCCAAATGCCTCATACATGAATAAATTCATTTTCACTCCCTCCAAAAACAAAGTGTGGTATAAGAAACATTTTGTTCAAAAGCATGTGCTAATTTTGAATACTCAATGCCATGATGCCAGGACTTTTTTTGTTGCTCTTTTGCTTTGAAATTCAGCCTTTTGATAGTGCTTATTTCAGTGACTGTCTTTAGAGCATCCATGTTAGAGAAAAACTCTTTTCTGTCTTAAAATTCTCTTACAGGTCTTGACGTTTTCCTCATGGACTGAGTGCCATCTGCACTACAACCATGAGATGATTATTTTTTAAAATACTTCATATAGAATGCACACTGGATTCCATTGTGATGTGATTTGCCATTGACAAAAGTCACACAACTTCTTACCCATAGTTTTATATCACAATTACGGTAGTTTTCAGCATCATAACTTTTTTCCCTATCTTATTGGCTAATATTTAACTGAATGAATGCAATTATTTTACAACTTGTCTATCTGAGTGTTTAAACTTTTGTGCTGACTGAGAGGATTGAATTTATCTTAGCTGGTTCATTCCTGGCATTAAAATACAGTACGTTTAATCTAAAAGTCAAAGTCTGTAAGATCAAAGATATGGAATCTTGAAATCCAAACCAGAAGGATCATAAATTGTAATTCTCCTTAATGACCTATGTACTACACCTCAGTGTAAAATAAACAACTTAAAAGTCTCTTCAGGGTTGTTGGACATACTCTTCCATTTACAAAAAAAAAAACAAAAAAACAAACAAAAAAACCACTGTTTAAATTAATTTATGTATAAAATCTCAACTTTAATGAAACTGAGGTGGGGGAGCTATCTAAAAGGCAGGCTTTCTATATGCAAACCCCATGTTTGTGTGTTACAGAGATAAAATGTTTGGGCCTCCATTAACTTTGCAAGGTAGAGTATCCAGCTTGTCAGATGTACAGGTTCCTGTCAGAAGAGACCAATACAGGTTGCTGTTTGTAATCAGTTTGTTTGAACTCTTCTCTCCTAAGTTGTAACTTCCATGAAAATCTCTCTTCTCTAAAACCAGTGGCTAGCAAACTAGATGTAAATATCGAACACATTTTTACAGAATTTCCATTGTTACTGTTTTCCTTACCACAAATATTCTCTTGTTCTCACAAGTATTTTTGCAGCCTCTTAATATAAAAGCTGATCCTTACTTATTATACTTTTAAAACCCAAGCTCTTTGTAGATTTGGTTGAATGAATAAGCAAATGTGCTAAAAAACATACCATCCACCCACACATTTTTCCTGCACTAACTGGCTCTGTATGGCCTTGACCTTTGTAATGTTGAACTTCCTTTTATTGCAGGATGGATCTAAATATCGAAACTTCCATTAAGTTAAACAAATAAATCAAGGGTGTCAGCAGCAGAAAGAAGTGTTGCCTCAGGGGTCCTAGGAAGAGGATAAAAGGAGCTAGTACCTAAAAACTCAGTAGAGAAACTTTTGTCTGAATCTTTGGAATCAAACTAAATCCTGACAAATGTGTATGGGTTTGCACATTTGAAGGCCTGGACTGGCATGTTATGCTGTGTTTTAAGTTATTCTGTTCTCACTCTGGTGACCTGTCTGGGATTGCTTAGGACAAGGAGGGACTTCTTGAGTCAACACGTCTTGTACCTTTTTGTACGGTGAACTGAATTCCACCAGTAAAGCCGTTTAAACTTTGCTGTCCTCTCTCAACCCTGGGGGATTAGCTGGGTTGGCTCTTTTGCTTTTAGTGTGGAGTCAGCTATTACCCAGCCTCTGTGCCTTGTAGCCCGTTTTTTCTCTGATGCCAACAGTACTCATTAGATCCAGGTGTTTTTCCCTAGCATTGCTTTTTTTGTGTGTGTATGTATTTACAGTGAATAATATTTCCACTCAGCCTTCACCTGGATAAGCTAAACAAGCCAGGCTCCTCCAGATGCCTCTCTTCTCCAAAAGGCTTTCTCATTTCCCATGTTGTCCTAACCCTTTCCTGACATTTTTAATTTTCCTGAACACCAGTGACCAGAAATGTAAGTTTTGTCACAGGTGAGCTGCGGTCACTGCCAAAACTCTCTGGTCTCCTCTAAATAGCTCTGCCTTATGCAGGAGGTCAAGCACTTCACCTTGTGGCCTAGATTTTTATTAATTCCAAAGTATGTGATCTTTTCTTGGGCCTTTCACTTCATTTAGGAGTATTTGGAAAGTATTTTTCAAACTTCTTATGAAGCACTCTGAGTGTGATAGCTTGTTTTTGTAATTTATTATTTTATTTGGGGGAGAGCAATCTTATTTGTAAATTGTGGAGTTGGATTTTTTTAAAAATGTGACGCTAATGAATCCCTTGTATCATGGTTCAATAACCACACACCATTTATGAAAGTAACTTATCCACTGAGTTTAAACAGCAGAATAAATTATACTAATCGCAATTTGTGTGTTAATTGTTTGAAGATACAGGCTAATATTTCAAATAAAATTTTCTCTTTTTAAAGGTGCAGAGCAAAGAGCAGATACATACCTTGAAGGAAAAGACCAGCTGGGAGGTTGGTTTCAGTCCTCTCTATTAACCAGTGTGGCAGTAAGGAAAAAGGCACCATACAAGTAAGTGTGTGCATTACAAACACATTCCTACTCCATTTATTGAGTGTTAGGCTTTTGGTAGTGTGCACAGCAGTATATAAACAACAGGAATAAAATGATTACTTAGCATCTTATTTATGTTCTTGTATTTTCAGCATGAAGTTTTTCTCAGATTAGATTGGAAGGAATTTACTGTTTAATTTTTTTTCCATTATAATTTTAATAGATATTTTATTTCTCAGTCCTTTAGGTATTACATTATCAAATATTATGGTTTTTTGCCATCTCTCCCACTCCCATAATTGAAGGGATTCTACGGGAGGTGCAGTGTGAAAGTTTCCTCAAATCATTGACTTTTGAATTGAATGTTAGGCTGTAGGGAATTTGGAATGACTGTGTGTTAATCTCCTGCTGGAGTTGTGGAATACTGTTTGCCCCCTGGAAGATGAAGAGCATAGGCAAGTGTAATGTGGGTCAGTGGCAAGAAGGCTGCACAATTTTGGGAAAAATAATACTTTAGTCTTTAATGAATCTGAAATCCAAGTACCCTGGATATCTAAACAATCTGTTGCTTGCACGGCAATGTTAAATGAGGAAAATGAAGTTGTTTGCAGTACCTGGAGGGTAGTACAGAGTATTCATTGTTGGTTGAATCCAGCAGATGGAACCTCAGGCTTACTGAAATAGAGGGTTTTGATATTTTGACTTAGGAATATCCTCATTAGAAATCTATTCCGAACACAGAATTTCACTGGGATTTTATTTTCACTAAAACCTTTTTTTTCAGGACTCTGGTAGTTCATGGATTTACTCTTGGTGAGAAAGGGGAGAAGATGTCTAAATCCATCGGCAATGTGGTTGACCCTGATGTCGTTATCAATGGAGGCGAAGTAAGTGAAACTCTTTGAGTTCTTAGAATCATTAGTTACAGTTTTTCACTACCAGATTCTGCAGCAGTCCTGTGGCATGGTTGTCTCTAAACAGCTGTCTTGTAGCAGAACTCTGTAAGGCTCTTCAAAAGACTTTGGCTACACTGCAGTTCTGTTTGGCTGGAGTGAAAACCTTGAGCTGTTTTGCTTCAGCTGAAGTGCCAAACCCCCACATCTTTGTTCTCTGCTGAGAGAAAATGCTAAAAGAAAAGAAAATTATGCAGAGGGTTTAAAATGGTTCCTTGTTACGTGGCCACAGAAACCCAGTATACCTGGGAACACTGTTGATGGAGTAATGAAGGGGGGATATTAAAAAAAAAATAAATTAAAACAATTGACCTTTGTTTTCAAACTGAAACCTGTAAGATGGTCCTGGCAGTAGAGCTGTCAGATGTAGCAGCTGCACCCCAGCAATCTGTCTGCTCTCAGCCTAGACTGTTACTGACTCTGGAAACTTCCTTCCATGGTCAGGAATGTTGCATTGCAGGTGATGCTCTGATTATTTTATTTTTTTTTCCCTCTCCAGTCCTGCTGTTGCTCTCTGTGAGCCTGCAAAGCAGATTTTGCACTTCTCTCAACAAAAGAATCAATCCTTACAGACTTGCTTATCTGATTCATTAAAATAGACAATTGTTCCTATTCTTTTGAAAAGGGCAGAAGCCATTTTCAGAGTTGAAAATAGTCTGAAGGGGAAGAAAAAAGTCTGTAGTTTTAGATATTAATGTTGCTATTTTAATGACAAGCATTTGAAGAATTTAGGGCTGCGGGTGAGTTTCTCTTAACTTACCCGGATTCAGCATTGCCTGAACACAGACTGCTGCAAGTATCTGTTGCAGCCCTGTTAAAAGAGGGTGAACACAGCAGCCTTCTAGGCACACATACAGAGTTTTAGGTAGCCCTGTGAGGGGCAAGGAGTTGGACTCGGTGATCCCTCTGGGTCCCTTTAAGCTGCAAGTACTCCATGGCTCTGCAGCTCACAGCACTGCTCACCAGGCTGCAGGACCCCCAGCAGTTCCTCTCGTGTGCCTTTCTGTCCATCCTTAGGATCACACCAAGGATCCTCCGTATGGTGCCGATGTTCTCCGCTGGTGGGTGGCAGAATCCAATGTTTTTACGGAGGTGCTGATTGGGCCTGTGGTACTTAATGCTGCCAGAGATGACATCAACAAGGTAGGAGCCACCTATGCTTAAGCTGTTCATTCTAATGAGAGGCCCTCTTTGTAGTGGCTGCAAAGCTTTCCAGGCTTTAGACTAAAGGAAGCTTTTCCAAACTCATTTAAGTAGGAACTACTGCTTCTCACATCTGTGGATCAAAGAGTGTACTAAGAAAAGGACTGATTTTTGCAGCATGCTTTGGTAACAGCCAGTTAAAAAACCAGTAATTTTGAAAAGTAGCCAATTTTAGTTAATTCATCATACAATATTAGCATTTTGCTTTTCATCTGAAGTGCAGACCATTAATGTTTAATTTTTCCTAGCTCCGGAATACACTGCGCTTCATGCTGGGAAACATGGATGGCTTCAATCCAGAGACTGATTCCATCCCCCCTTCAGAGATGTACATAGTAGATCAGTACATGCTGCATTTACTGCACGAGTATGGCAACAAGGTAGGGGTAAATTGTGTTCAGAGAAATGTGTGTGTACTGGTTTTGGTTAGAACCTCTAGGGAAAACTCTTGAAGTCTGTAAGTAGATTATGTGTCTAGGCACATTACAACCATAAAGGATTCTTAGGTGCAGCTTGTGCTCTCTTCAAGCCCATTTAACCTTTTGAGGAAGGTTTTAACATTCTTAACTTGGCTTTGACATCAACCAGTTTTTTCCATTCCCCACTCCTGCCCAAGCTGTCAAATTAGAAGTCTCTAGAAATAGCTAAAAATGGTTGTGAAAAACCAAACGCAAAGAATTCTAGAGCTTTGGAAATCTGCTGTAGTCCACAGAGCTTTGTAATTTCTGCCACTCAAAACCATTCTGCTGAAAATATGGGCATAATTCCTGGGCTTCCCCCTGTTGGCTCCCCTCAAATTAGAATTGAAATTATTTTTTCGGCCTAATCATTAACTGCATTAATAGTTTTTCCTCTCCAACAATCTTTCAAAGAAAAGATTTTCCCAGGCTTTGTGTCACTGATTACAGTTTCTCTAATTTTGGGTTTATCAGGGGCTGTCTTTATGTGCCATCTGATGGAAACTGATATGCTGTTCTTACCTGCCTCCTCTCCCAGGTTACAAACGCATACAAAGAGTATGATTTTAGCAAAGTTGTCCGATTACTACAAGCATTCTGTTCCAGAAACTTGTCTAACTTCTATTTCAGCATAATCAAAGACAGGTAAGTTCCTTCCTGCTGCCTTCAAAAGGGAAAAAACATGTGAATGGGTTTGAGATTGAGGTAGTAACACTGCAGGTGAATGCTGAGTGACTGCAGCTATCTCAGAGAACCCCTGAGGTTGTGCTCTAGTGCAATCCAGCTCCCCATGAAAGCTCAGCTGTTTGTCATCGTTGTGTTTCAGTGTTCTATCCTCTGGGGGTACTGCTGGCTCTCACAGGTAATCAAACATGCACATTTAAAACCAAATAAATATTTGAAGATAGTCTTGGATCTGTATTTTTCCATAGAAGGGTGTACATCTGAACCTGGGAAGGTAGGGGGAAGGGCTTTTAGCACTTACCTGGACAACTGAATGTATTCATCTGCTTTTTCAATCAGTACAAAATCCCAAGGGTGTGACAGATACCTTTGTAAATTTGAAAGGGCTGTTTCATGTCGGTAGGAGATGGGGCGTTATACTGGTCTTTAGTTGCCAGAATGTGAGTAGAGGGTTGGGGGGGGGGGGGGGGGGGGGGAGAGAGACAAAAAAAGCCCTAACGCTAAGCTTTACAGATGAACCAGAACAAAGGGCTGACACAGCTGCCTCCTGATGACAGATTCTGTACAAATTAACATGCACAAAACCTCCTATCCTGTGACAAATGTGGCTGCCTATGCAGATGGTCCTGTCTGTAGCCCACTGCGCTTGCCTAGGAAGGGCTCTTAAAAGAAGCTTTTCTTAGGAAGGCAGGCTGGGTCAGACTTCTGTACTCTCATGACTGTCCTGGAAGTGTGGCTCTTGAGCAGGAGCAGTGACATGAACACAGGAATCCTTTCCCAGTTTCATGGCTGTCTTGCAGGCTCTATTGTGAAGAAGCAAAAGATCCGAAGCGTCGCTCGTGTCAAACCGTGCTAGCACAGGCTTTGGACGTCGTGGTCCGGTCCTTTGCACCAATCCTTCCTCACCTGGCAGAGGAGGTTTTCCAGCACATCCCTTATAAGAAAGGTAAAGCACATACAATATCTAAAGAGTTCTGTTAGTGCACTGTTTAATTGCGCAGTTAAAAGGAATGCAAATACAGAGATGCGCCGTTCTTTTTTATTCATGTAATAAACACTCAAATAGAAAGAATAAACTAAGAATTCCTTTGGTTTGCTTTCAAGACTCAGAGGGTGTGTTTCGTACTGGCTGGATTAATGCAAGCTCAGCATGGAAGAAGCCTGGCATTGAGGAAGCAATAGAAGGTGCTTGTGCAATAAGAGACTCTTTCCTGGGGTCCATCTCTGGCAAGAATGCTTTGGAATATGAAGTCATCATTGTAATTGAGCCTGGATTGCTGTTTGAATTAATGGAGGTAAAAAATGCAGCTAAGAATAGTGCTGTCTGTGTGAAAAATACTAATTTCTGTAAACTTTCCTCTGCTTTGTACTTGCCATAAAAATCACAGGAGAGTTGAGGTTGGAAGGGACTGCTGGAGCCTGTACAGCCCGAGCCCCTTGCTCAGAGAGGCTTAGTTAGAACAAGCTGCCCAGGACTGTGTTCAGTTGGGTTTTGAATACTTCTGAGAACGGAGACCCCACCACCACTCTGAGCTACCTGTGCCAGTGTTTGACCACCCACACAGTAAAAAATGGGTTTGTGTTTTCTTGGAGAAAGATCATCTTCAACCTGCTGGCAGCGGTCTTTCTAACGCAGCATCCTACTGTGGAATGCTGCTGGGAGAGCAGAATTCTGGCTCATGGTCAGATGCGTGGTCACCAGCTTTCCAGCCAGCTGGGGTAGAGCTCCACGGGACTGCCAGCCAGTTTCTCCATCCCACTGAAGTTCCTCTGACTGAAAGCACAGTCAGCTGGTGCATCAGACCCTCCTTGGAGCACTGTCAGCAGTAAACTTGCTGAGGGTGTGCTGTGCCCCAGCACCCAGCTTATTTGCTAATGGATTAGAAAGTACTGGACCCCAGACTGACCCCCGAGCTACATTACTAGTGAACTGGCCTCCTTAAACACCTGTGCTAGTGCCAGTGTTCCTCCAAAGTCATCTGCTTTCTTGATATGAGGGTCAAAGTAAACTGCAGAGGGAACCTTCACACTGCAGTTCAAGTCTGTACTCCTGCTCCTGGCAGGAGTAAAGAAATTAGACTTTTGGTTCAAATCATCCATGGTTTTGTATTTGTTTTATAGAATGGAGCATCTTAGATGTCAGTTTGGATGCCAAACAGCACTATAGATACATGTATGTTTAGACACATGTGCAAGCAAACTTGTGCTCTCTCCCTGACAAGGCTCTGCTGTAATCACATACACAGCAATTTTATTTTTGCTCTAACGTCTTTTAGGAGGCAGATGCTGAGGCACAAAAACGGGTTACAAGTCTAAAAGTTCTCTCTCTCTCCTAGGCACTGCAGGCTGAAGAAACTTCTGCTGTTTCACAGCTGAATGAGATAATGATGGCTTCCCAGACAACCCTGCTGAGCGAGCTACCCAAAGAAACGCCCACAGATGCAAACATCACCAAAGGGACCTTTCTGATTAACTTGGAAGGTAAGAGAACTATTCCAGACAGGCTGCAGCACTAAGCAGCTGGTTCTTCCCTGCACTACAACGTACTTTGTTGTTCACGTTGTATGTATAGTTGAGTTTTACCTACAGCCTCTCTCTCAGCAATAACATTTCCTTTAACAGGTGGTGGCATCTGTGAACAATCTTCATATAAAGTTATAGCCCGACCCATTGCCAAAGCCAAATGTCCTCGCTGCAGGAAATACACTTCCGAGTCCTCAAGCACTCCCTGCCCACGGTGCCTCAATGTCCTTGCTGGAAAAGGGAGCAAGTGAAGACAAAATGCCTGTGCAGAAGCTGCTCCCAAGTCCTGAGTATGGAAGCCTAACATAGCCATGGCTAACCAGCAGGTCTGCATACTGAAACCTGTAGAACCAGATGCTTGAGCCCCAGTCTGACCAGAAGTATCATGTATTTTGGGGAACCTTATGTGTATATATATATATATATATGTATATGTATATATATATATACACACCTACTTGTGTATATCACTTTCCAGCTTAATAAAAAGGGTGGTTAAAAATAACTGACTGATTTACTTGTTCTTAGCACTTCCATTTAAGTCAAACTCCCCCATAAACCAGGTCTAGTCAGCTGGTAGTTCTGCAGAACCCCAGAGGACTCTGCTACACTGGACTGTCTACTTCTCTTGTAAAAACAGAAGAAAAGGGAATGGCCACCATTCCCTAAAAAGAAGGAAAAAACACAATGAAACCTCAAATTTTATTTAATCAATTTACACAAATCCACAGCAAATTAGACACAAAATAGCACTATATACAGAGTATTACTTACAATACATTACAGATTTGATTGGTGTAGTGTGTCAGCTCTGATGTGATACTCAGTTACAGTAAAATCCTTTACACAGCTGTACCAGGATCAAGGAATGTAATGCAGCTAAGAAACACCTGGTTTTCCTCAGGTTCCATGATGACCAAATCTCAAGCCTTCTCCTTTCTGCCTAAGTGTGAAGTGCTGCCAGGCAAGGTGGTCGAGTCACCTGCACAATACTGCCATCTCCCATTTCTCCCTTACAGCTGTTTTACCCTCAGTTATGGAAGTCAGTACACAGAATATAGACCAGGGCTGGCACTTACTGGAATCCCTGCTATTCTTCGCTCCATCTGCAGGAAGTCAAACATTTGGTATCAAATCAAGAAGCCTTCATCAGGAGTGCAGAGAGAGGAAGTGGGGATGTGGAACAGATGAAGGAGGCTGTATGGAACAAGCCACCTGCATAACCTTTTTTGTGGGGGGAAGTGTAACCCTTAGATGACAGCAGCACATACTTAAAAAGGATGAAGACCAAATCCTACATTCTGTCTCCAGCAAGGCAGAATATTATGAATGTTTCTTACACATAATGCAAGAGGAGCAGGTTACAAGATAGAGGTGGTAATTTCAGCTGACTTCAAGACAAAAACAGTTTACACCAATTTCATTTTTCTCTCCTGGCTTCCTTCAGGCAGATAGTGAACAGTAACTGATGCAAAAATAGTCATGTTCAATTCTACTCCAATAGTGAAGATACTCACTATGTGATTCCCTGTAGGTACCGTCAATAAAAGTGTTTATTTAAGGCTAAAGTACTCAGTACTACAGATCTTCAGAGAAGTTGGATCAACTTTTCAAGCATTTCTGACTACAAGTTAACATGTGCAGAGATTGATAGCAATACTACGTCTTCTACAGTGATAGGATGGAGGAACAATCTTACAGTAAGACATTCCTTGACCTACTTAAACTCAGCAGAGCTTAATAATAATGGAGAGGGATGTAAATCCAGTTTTAGCTGAAGCCCAGCAGCCTAGAGACAATACTGGGAGATCTGGACTAAACGATGTCACGTCTGGAGAATTGGATTCTCCTCCCCAGGCTGTTCTCCCTTTGTATGAGGCCCCAGCACGTTTGATCCTACGTCTAGTGCAGTTGTCATTCTCACATGTAATGCAGTTACAAGGCATGAGCCCAACACCAGCTCTAGCTTCAGAAAAAGCAGTATTGGCTTTGCATGGTAACTTCAGAGACTGAAGTTCTTCTTGGGTCTAATTCTAAAGCTTCTTTTGAGAAACAAATCATACATGGAACATTGAAACTGCAGCAGTTACTGCCAGCATGAAATACAAAATTTCACAAGATGTGCTTTTCTTAAGAGACTAAAACTGCTGTCAAATATACCCAATTCAAACAACTGCATAAAGCACTCAAGTCAGAAATAAATAACAAAGCAGTTCAGATACTGACAAGTGTACTAGGAATTAAACATATTTGTACTAGTGCAGAATTTAAAATATACTCCAATTTAAAATTACCGTCTGAAATTCTGGGATGGGGAGCATTTGTTCTTTTCATTGCTTAACAAGAGCCACATGGAAGCTTCTCCCATAAAGTTCAGCCTCTTTGTGTAAATCCATGCACTGTCCCCGTGCAGCAGATCACGAAGGGATGGCCTCCACAGCCTCGATGAGATTCAGGGCCAGGCTGTACTGCCCGTGGTTCTCCGGCAGGTGCTCGATGACCTTGTTAACCAGCTTTGCTGTCGTTGCAATTGGCACTTCTACATTTTGAAGTTCCTTGGGGTCCTGTATAACAGAGCAAACACAGCATTAGAGTAATTTTGCAGATTAGCCCTCCAGAACTTGCATGAAACAGATTACTAAGGTTTATAAGCACAGTTAAGCTGACGCTTTGCCCCATGAAACTGCTTTACCCTCCCTGAAACAGAGCTTGCATGAGGAAAAGTAGGAACAAATTATTGTTTCTATGATTAAGAAACGGCCATTCAGATGTAATCTCTGTCTTGATGAACAGAAGCTTCTGGGGAAAAAAAAAAAAAATCAACCTATTTTCCAAAATTGAGCTCAACTTACCATGGCTTTGAGCCACGTACAGAGAGTTGGAGGAAGCCTGGTGAGGAGCTCCATGCCCTCCTTTGTCTCCCCATGGAGTAAAACGAAGGCCAACCTCTGCCCAGCCAGAATGAGCAGCTGTGAGGCAAGCACTTCTTTGTCAGCCACCTGAAGAAAGGCCTGATAACAGAGAAAGGTAAGGCACTAGAAACCATTTCAGCATGACACGGCTCACTCATCTGGAGGCCTGGAAAGTTGTATCAAAAGGAGGTGCTCGATACTAAAGGAACAAATAGTTTTTGAGACTGTTTCTTGTGTTGGCTGTTACCATAACAAAGCACATTCAGAGCTTCCAGAAAAGTAAACAAAGGCAGAGAATTACTCTGTACTTCACACAGTGATTAGCGTGAGCACAATATCTGTTTTACAGTTCAGCAACATTCCTAACTTCCATATAATCTCGTTTGGTTTTACCCTCAAGGAAGGGGAGGGGGTTTTTGTATTAAGCTTTTCTTTATTTTTCTAAAAGAGATTAAGGCAAAAAAAAGAAAATTCTTGAAACTATCAAATATAATAAAATAAAAAAGGCAATGCTGGTTTAGACCAGCAGTATAACTCCCTGTGAGGTTTCCATGTGTACACAGATTCTCACTGGGAAAAAGGAAAAAATAGGGTAATTATTGGTCTTGAAAGACTACTTTTACAGTCTCTGACTTTTCAGCCTGGGGATTTGTTGAGCTTGATAAATCCTGCCTAACCCTTCCAGGCATCTTAAGTAAGTGAAAAAGTAATTTTAGCAGAATATATGACATAATGTTGTACTGATTTAAAAAACTCTAGAAGTTGCTATTACCTCTTCACCAAGATGATCCATCCCATAACTATACAGTTCACAGACGTAATGCCTTCTGACCAGATCCTCAGAGATCTGAAGATATTGAGCCAGGTCTGCAGCCAAAGTTGGCCAATTCTTCCCCTTCTCAAAAGGAAACAATTCCTCTTCTGAGACTTCTTTGTCCTTTTGTGATGAACACAGTGTTTGAACTGCTGCACTCACAACTTTGAGCAAGAACTTGGAAGCAAAAATTGCAAGTTACTTAAGCATTATTTGAAATTTTAGAAGTTTAAGAATTTAAGGTGCAAAACTTATGCCTACCTGTTGTCGTATGGATAACACATTTGGATCCATATCCCCACTAGGTAGCAGCTGAATCGATGTGAGGTCTTTAAAAAATGCATTTTTTCCCTAAAAATGAGAACCAGAGACAGGTCTCAGGGATACAGGGGAATACAAACAATTCATTTTGATCTCATACTGAGCAGCCCACTTACTAATTTGCACTGCATCTTCTGTCTTGCTTTGAGGACAAAAACTAATACTGTAAGTTAAAGCCACAGAAAAATCCAAACTTCTGTACATGCAATTGTACCATGTCAAGGATTTCCTTTCAAACTTAAAACCACCTACCAACTAAATTAGGTAGCTGATACTAGCTGGAGTTGAAATTTGGATATATATCCTGGTCTCTGACTTGACACTAACATATCAAGTACAATATGTACGAAGAAATGCAAAACAGCTGATAGGAATAACCCATTTTATCTATTATCTATTGGTATAGTTGACACTGCTTAATTTTAAGGTCATTTGAACTACAGATCAATCAAATTTCAGGTCAATTCCTGAATGATGGAACATGGTAGCCCTTGTTCCAGCCCACCATGCTCCAGCAGTGACATTGCTCAGTGCCAAACACCTCTGCAAGTCCTGCTCTGCACCACTGCAGGGAGCAGGGAAACTGGTACCAACGTCTGTGTTAAAAGACAGTAATGGATGTGTAGGTTTACTCAGTGACTTGCCTTGTCACAAATTAGGTAATAAATGGTCTTTGAAACTTTTCACCACTTTATCAGCCATCAGCCAAAATTCCCTAAAGACCTGTTGGAGATTCTCTCAGAAAGCTCACAGAGCAAATGGAAATCTTGAGTAAGTGAAGGAAAAAGAGCAGTGACTGAGAATAACAGCTTTGTGTTAGAAAGGCAGGACAGGAACAGGATCCAATTTTGCATTTTTAAATGACAAAAAGTAGTAAAATGCTTTCTGCTAAGAGATAAGCAAAAAAAAAAAAAGTATTAAACCAATGGAATTTGACTAATGGTAATCAAACTCAAATATTCATCAGAGTTTACAGACTAACAAAAACCTATGGCAAAAGGAGAGCAATATTCTGCATTTCTTAAATTTCAGGAAGTCATTAAGAAATCCGTGCAGTCTTACAGGATTTAAATCATTTTCTCCCCAGCAGGAATAAAATGACATTCTACACAAGTACTTTGTGTTTAGATTTTCTTAAAATTCTAATGTGGTAGAGCTAGGAGGAAGAAAGCTCAATTTCTGGTACCTGTTTTGTATCAGGGTCAAGTTCTGACTGTAGATATACTGCATTTTAAGTGCAGTGACCTTTTGTAAGTGGTTTATATGGGTTAAATTACAAGTTGTTTATTCATTTTGAGATGCTCAGGATTCTGGAATAATCATGAGCAATAATGGATACAACAGTGACACTAACATAACATTTCTGACTTTTAAATGTTTGTGTTTTCACTGATCTGGCACTTCTCAAAGCAAGTAGGAAAACCTGTCATCCAGTGTTCTTGACATGCAG